CACACACAGAGAGCAAGTCCGACGAAACAGCCTCCTTATTTTTTTCCAATGGTTTTTCTTTCTGGAGTGTTTTGTGTATAGCGACGATGACGAAACCCTAAACACAAAAGACGCACAAACAAATGGAAAACGAAGGGGGAAAAAAAAAAAAGGGCCGAAGAGGAAATCATCGGTTCTCGCAGAACCCCAAAGATAGAGCTCAATGGACTGAATTTACCGAGCTGAGCTGTTTTTTTCGGTCGCCGTCAACGTCTATTAACTCGCCATTTTATCAGCTGTACACGACTTTGACTTTGACTCACAGTAACACTTTCACTTGGAACAACATATCGGTCGCGGCTGTGTATAGCGTGCAGGCAGATGAGTCGACTCCCCGTCTCCCCCCCCTTCGAACATAACAAATCCTCATAAAGAATGCATACGAACTACTTTTGTGACCCGATACAGTCGAAACATGAGGGTGCGTTGTAATCGGGTGGGCGAAGACGGAACTCGCTTTCAGCAGCAGCTGGGCAGTTAGGTCCAATGCCAAGAAAAAGAAGACAAAGAACTCGAACTACTTTTGTGACCCGATACAGTCAATATAAGGATAACAGTAGAAGCCGAAGAGAAAGAAGTGAAGTGAAGAAGAAGAATTGAATTGAATTGAAAAAGAAAAAACAAGTAAAAAGAACTGAATGGTGAAAAAACAGTGACCATGGATTTGCTTGCTTCTCTTACAAGCATCGACAGATAGATTTGCGTTACGTACACGCTTCGATAGCTCATCCTCGTCAATGCATACATAGCCGCGCGTACTCATCTCAGCTCACACGCGCACAATCCCCGACGCGTTTCGATTCGATCGGTTGCGCTCCGCTCCGATCATCCTAAGGGGGCTTTCCACAATTCCCTCGCCTTGCGGCCCACCGATCAAACCTCCCTTCCTTCTGAACGAAGTGAAGACGAAGAATAGTGGAAACAGCGGCCAACTGCCTTTCGTACACGCTCCGGAAGCTTAAAAAAGAATTGAAGAAGAAGGAACAGAATTGAAGGATAGTGATGAACAAAGAAGAAGAAATAAAAGAGGTCTTAAGAGTGTCTTTCGTGCATGTTTCGACAAAAAATCCATATACATCTGCATGCACTGAGCTCAGCAGAAACGCGCTCCTCTCCTCCCCCCCCCCCCCCAACGCGCGGTTCAGCCAGGGGGAAGCGCACCTGGCACTCGTCAGGCAGGGGCATCCTCACCAGATCCGAAGAAGAAAAGGAATTCAGGAAGAAGAAGAACTGAGGAAGAATAGTGAAAACAGTGACAAGAAGAAGAAGAAGAAGAAGAACTGAGGAAGAATAGTGAAAACAGTGGCCATAAGAAGAAGAAGAAGAATGGAAACAGCGGCCAACTGCCTTTCGCACACGCTTCAAATGATCATCATTACATAACAGCGCATACTCATCTCAGCACACGCGCACATTCCCCGACGCGTTTCGATCGGTTGCGCTGTTATGTAATGATGATCATTTGAAGCGTGTGCGAAAGGCAGTTGGCCGCTGTTTCCATTCTTCTTCTTCTTCTTATGGCCACTGTTTTCACTATTCTTCCTCAGTTCTTC